CCCACCTTGCAGGGTATCTGAGAATTCCATCAGATGACACACCGGAAGCGCCTATCAAGCACCGACCACTGTTAGCCACAGTTAACAACAGCATTCCCTTGGACAATCTGGACATCCTTCCCACAAATACTCAAATACAGGGAAAAAATAATAAATTCCTGAGGTCCCACAAACACGCTGGGTAAGTAGATCTCATCTGAGAGAAAAAGGGACTTCTTAGTTCTCTGCAGTCTCACAGTCACCGACCTCCCCGAGAAGCACGGTGCCAGGCAGTCGACCACCCCCTCCCAAGAAGCGCGGTTCCAACTGTGGGTCACGGCCCAGCAGCGGGGTCAACTCGATTCAGTGGGTGATGGCTGGCATTCAGAAGAATGGAACAGAGGGCAGGAGAAGAAAAGAAAATACGGCACGTGCTGTCAGTAAGGTAAGGATTGTTCTGTGAACCTTTATTTCGGTCCCACATAAAATAAGCATGTGGGGCTATGGGATTGTGCAGGCCCAGGAAAGGGCCACATAAAGGACTTCCGGTCTTGACAGCAATGAGAAGACCATGCCCTGGGTGTTCTAGAGCCAACTCATCCGAACGGAGGGAGCCGAGGCCTGCCGCAGGTGAGAGACACGGTGTCCCTCTCCACCATGTCTCTTAAGGTGCCTTCTTGTCATCGGGGTAGGGAGGTTCAAACTTGTGGGGGCAGAGAGGGCTAGAATCTCCTTCAGACAACATCTTATGCTGAAGTCCAACCTGCTGGAGCCCACCAAGCCCACGTCCTCGCCCACCCCTGCGGCCCCACCACCTGGCCCACGGTCTCCAAGGAACACCAGAGCTAAGCCACCAGCCCTGGGGAAGGAGCCTCGGCCTACGACAGCCTCCAGCCTGGGGAGAGTGTGCCCACAGCTCCTGAGCAGCCGGCCACGTCCAGGGAAGGACAGTGTACCCCAGGGCTCGGGGTCCCGTCCCCCACAACGGCCACAGCAAGCTCTCTAAAGCACTCCCATGCCCCTCTGGACGCCCTTCTCTGTGTGGGCACACTGCAGGGTGCTGCCCACAGCTGCTCCCAACTCCCCCCGACCTGAAAATCCCAAGCATGGGGCTGAGCCAGGATAAGCCAGTCGTGGTGACCCCCAGGCCATCTCCCTATGTCACGTGTCCCCAATCTGGCCAGTGAGACCCAAGCTGGGGGCTGACGGAGACCGAGACGCCAGCAGAGAAGCCCTGCACCCCTCCTCCCGCCCTGCCCTGCCCTTCCTCCAGTTTCCCAGGAGGACGTGACAGCTGGAGCTCAGGCACCATCTCAGGAGTGTGGGGCGACCAGGATGGCACAGAGAAGGCCGCCCAGGGCCTGGACATCGCTGGCTCGAGGAAACGGCTGAATTAACCAACGCTGGAACCAGCCCACCCCACAGAGCTGCTCCAGACCATCACACATCCTTTTGGGTGGGTTCCCTGCTAACGGGCAGCTGAGAGGGTCCCCACCGGTCCCACCATGCTGCCTCATCTCCTTCCTCAAGCTCTCCACTGGGCCTTGCTCCACGGCCAGCCACTGCCCTCTCCATCCGGTGACCCACATTTTCGGCTGGCAGCCCCTTTCTCAGCAAAGCCTACCCTGACTCCAACAAGGTGCACCCTCTGGTGAGGTGGTCTTCACTGGAATCCCCGTTGTGACACTGAACGAGTTAGGGCTCCTGACCCGGCCATGAGCCTTGTGGAGGCAGGGACATCAGGCACATGTGTCCCCGGCCCCTCACTCACAGAGGTGACATGGGGACACTGGACCAGAGCTGGATGAATGGAGGGCACAGCTCCGGGAAGAAAGCCCAGGAAGGGCAACAGCTGCGAGGGTGTGAGGCAGGTACGTGCCTGGCCTGCTGAGGACCAGAGCACGCATCCATGCTGGGGACGATGTGCCAGGTGGGCGTGGACCAGGGTAGCGGTGCAGGGTGGGGATACCACTTAGGGGTGATCCAAGACTTCGCCTCCATTCCACAAGGCTCAGGCTGGCGACCGTGGACAAGGGTGGACGCAGGGAGGTCAGTGCAGTCAGCAATCCAGACGTGAGGCAACGGCCACAGCTGGAGCCGAGGGACCACATTCTGGACGCACTCTGAGTGGATGCGCTGACGGGCCGGAAGTCAGGTGTGCGGGCAGACGGGGCCCAGCAGACTCCAGGGCGGCTGTCCCAGCCTCCGTCTCCAGCGCCGTCTGTGACCTCCAGGGTTGTCTGGACCTCCAGCGTCGTCTGTGACCTCCAGGGTCATCTGTGACCTCCAAGGTCGTCTGGACCTCCAGCATCGTCTGTAACCTCCAGGGTCGTCTGTGACCTCCAGGGTCGTGTGTAACCTCCAGGGTCGTCTGCACCACAAGGCTGTGACTCGGGGCTGGGCATCACGCCCACCTTCTCCTCAGAGCTCCAACCAGCACTCCCGTCTCCACAAGCCGCCACCCTCCTCTTCTTCCCCCTCAGCCATTCCTCCTGGCAGAGGCAGTGAGAGCGCATCCAACTACCCCTCTGTGGGGCCTCGGAGCCGGACTTGACTCAGCAGGCAGCGCTGGCAGAGGCTCCAGGCTCCTCTGTGCTGGGATGGGAGCCCTGCAGGTTGACCTTCCTCCACCGGAGTGGAGCCTGCTCACCAATCCAGGCCGTGCTCCTCCCCATGGAGCCCAGGCTGTGCCCCAACGTGCCCCCTCCATGCGCCTGCCCTGCCCCGCGGACCCCCATCCCTCACCAACAGGCCAGAGGGAAACGGTCTGTGGGAGCACTGGCCAGGCCAAGCCCTGCTGCTCTCCCGCCGGACGTCAGCCAGGGGTCTCAGGGCAGGAGTCCACACTGTCACCTCACAAGAGGCACCAAGCATGGGCGGGGCCCAACAGGGCAGGCCCAGAACAACGGGACGCACAGCTGCTTAGAAGCATCCAGGCCACACGGCTCATTCGCTGAGCGAAGAAGATGTCACCATGTGATGGCACCGCAGCCGGGATGGCCGGAGCAGAGATTTCCAACAGAGTCCCGAGGCGGGAGAGGGAGGGGAGAGCCCGGTGGACAAGGAGGACGGGAGAATCCATTGGTACTTTTTAAAGGTTTTATAAGGAGAATGAATTGTGAACGGATGACTTGTAAAATTAACAACGTACTCAAAGGCAAACATACATTTTGGGGACATTTTAACAAAGGCTGGGTGTTAGATGGTATTAAGGAATAACATTTTGTTAGGTGAGGTAAGCATTTTGTAGTTGCTGTTGTTGTTGTGTTTTGTTTTGTTTTTTGTGAGGAAGGTCAGCCCGGAGCTAACATCTCCTGCCAATCCTCCTCTTTTTGCTGAGGAAGACTGGCCCTGGGCTAACATCCCTGCCCATCTTCCTCCACTTTATATGGGATGCCACCACAGCATGGCTTGACAAGTGGTGCATTGGTGGAGCCCGGGATCCAAACCGGTGAACCCCGGGCCGCCGCAGCAGACAGTGCGCACCTAACCACTATGCCACTGGGCCGGCCCCCCGTTGTTGCTTTTTAAAGAGTCCTTATCTGTTGGAGAATTTATGAATGAAATGACAATGATATAAGGTCTGGGAATTTCTTTAAAATGCTCCTGGGGGAAAAAAACACACAACGGGCACAAAGGATGAAGTTAAGACTGGCAAAGTGCTGCTAATCGCTGAAGCTGGGCCCACGGGGGAAAGTCATTATACCGTCTACTGATGTCTGACATTTCATAATGAAACAGATTTTAAAATTGGTTTTAAAAGGCTAAAGGCCAAGGAAGTATGACAGGGGAGGAGGAGGGGGCAGAGGGGTAACACGGGGAGGGATGGGCGATAGGTCCTCACCCGCTGAGGCAGCCGGGGGTCGAGGGGCTGTACCCACTGGCTGTGAGCCCTCGGCAAAGCACCCAGCCTGTCTCAGTTTCCTCTCTGCAACCGAGGCCGCCTCAGGCCTGCCCGCAGGCAGCTTCTCTTCATTCTCCTTCAGCAGATCTTAGAAATAAATAAATAGAAGAGGGCCAAGGTGCCTTATAAAATCTATCCCCAACCTCCGTCCAGGTCCTCACAACCTTTCTCTTGGATGACTATAGTACGCTGGCTCAGGGAATGCAAACTCAGTGCCTGTTTTGTAAAATTTTATTGGCACACGGCCACACCCATTTGTTTCCATACTGCCTGTGGTAGCTCTCGCACCCCAAGGGCACGTGGCCTGCAAAGCCCACAATATTTCCCTCTGGCCCTTCACAGTAAGAAACATCTGCTGACCCGAGCCAGTGTGATGCCCAGCACAGAGATACATCAATGGCAGCATGGAAAAAGTCCATACTTTCTCTCTCAGGTGGCCTGTGTGACAGCCCCTGGAAACACAGCTTCAACAGAGGGGAAGGGGTGAGGCCGTGAAGAGGTCAGCGGGGGCCAGAGTGGGGTCTCCGAAAACAAACCCCAGGCCCCATGTGCTCAAAGATGAGTTTTATTCAACTCAAATAATGCTTTATTAAATAAAACACATTGCCAGTATCTAAAAAATGGAAGGTTTCCCACAAAAACCCAGACACCCAGCTTTCCCAGGAAAATCAGCACAGGCCCTCCTCTGCAGTCCCGTTGTTCCCCACACAGTTCACCCCCAGGCCCGTTACAGCCCAGGCCCGCGGGCATCTGGGTTTGCCACCCATGGTCTAAAGAGGGTCCTGCCTGGGAAAATCGTGGGGCCACCTAGAGACCACGATGGGGGAGCGAGGGGGCCTGGCCGTGAGGGATGGGGAGGTGGGGGCGCCCTGAACACAGACAGACAAGGGAAAGGCGGCCCTGAGGGCTCCCAGGGACGTGTAGCTGGAAGGAAACCCAGAGACTACACGGGCCCAGGACGCGGCCTGGCTAAAGCCAAGGCCAGGCTAATGGTGCCCGGGGCCCTCTGGAAGAAGGATGGGTGATCCCAGAGCCATAAGAGGGGGAGGCAAAGAAAGCCAGGGTCCAGGGGGAGGGTGTGGGGTCAGCTGAGAAGAACTGCCCGAGGCCACCTCACCTGGGTTCTCGTGACTGGCCATCTGCTGGTCCTCGGAATCCAGCGGCCCCGGAGACCAGGCCTCTTCCCGCAGCTCCATGTCTGGGTCCCTGTTAGAAGGGGACAAGACAGAAGGACAGAGTTGACAGGACGCCAGACCAGACGGAGGGCAGGTGCCGCAGAGGTCCCATCAGCGCTCGAGCTCGGAGCGCCTGGCACAACCATGGCAGACAGGAGATGCACAGCAGTGGGTCCCTGAGGGACGAGAAATGGCCCTCTTCTCCCCACTGGACGGGGGACTGGCCTGAGGCCACACACGACCGGGGGGGAGGAGGAGGCACAGAGGCTGCAGTCACTGGCCTGCGCTCACATCCCAGCTCCACCACTCAGCCTCTGGGGCTTGGGGCAAGACCCCGCCTCCGTGCCTCAGTTTCCTCTCCAGCAAGATGGAAGACAACAGCACCGACAGAGCACACGTGCTGTGAAGTTTCCACCAGACAAAGCTCTCACCCCAGCTCGAAAGGACCCTAAATCCATGTCCCCAAGCCAGTGCCCTGGGAGCCGGGCGACAACAACAGGGCCCGTCTCGCCAATCACCGGGTAGGAAGGGCCTTTCACAGCATCCCACAACATCACAAACCCCGGGGCTGACGCGGGCACACTAGTCGTCTAACTGCACGTTCTGAGAGCTCCTTTTCAACGTGCACGAGTCAAGCAAGACTCCGCGTCGCAGCCCCAGGTAAAGAAAGCAGCTGACCTTGGGCCGGCCCCGGGGCTTAGCGGTTAAGTGCGGGCGCTCCGCTGCTGGCGGCCTGGGTTCGGATCCCGGGCGCGCACTGACGCACCACTTCTCCGGCCATGCTGAGGCTGCGTCCCACATACAGCAACTAGAAGGATGTGCAACTATGACACACAACTATCTACTGGGGCTTTGGGGGGAAAAATAAATAAATAAATACAAATTAAAAAAAAAAAAAAGAAACCAGCTGACCCTCTGGGCCATCTGCCCTCAGATGTCTGGGGATGGAGGAACAGGGCCACCCACGTGGGGTCAAGGAACGGCAGGCTGGGTGGGGCGTGGCATCTGTCCACTCTGCTCTCCCCAGCCCCTGGCCACCTCTCATCTGCCTGTCTCTACGGATTTGCCTGTTCTGGACATTTCACGTAAATGGAATCACACAACACGTGGTCTCTTGCGTCTGGCTTCTTTCACTCAGCATGTTGTTTTCAAGGTTCATCACACTGTAGCAGGTGTGAGAATGTCCTTCCTTTTCACGGCCGAGTAACAGTCCACGGTGCAGACGGCCCACATCTGGTTTCTCCGTTCGTCAGTTGACGGCTGTCTGGGTTGCTTCCACTTCTGGGCTCTGACGAGTAAGGCTGCCATGAACACCTGAGTACATGCACTCGTGTGGACCATGTTTTCATTGCTCCTGGAGCGGAACTGCTCCAGAGCCCACACTTAACCGCACACAACTGTGCCATGCTGGGGAGGAAGCGTCCCCTGCCCAAGCCCCCCACCCCTTACTGGCCTCAAGGGTCAGGCTCTCAACCACTCCACGCCGCCCAGGGGCAAAGCCATCTGGCAGGGCCTGGTCCCTGGGGCAGACGGCCCAGCCGTCCTCTTCCTGCCCGCCCTGGCCGCCTCACGGAGGGCAGTGCATGTGGGCCTGGCCTCCGGGCTGCGCAGAGGTGAGGAGCCGGGCAGGACTCTGCCCTGCGTCTTGGACTCAGGGTGCAGATGGGGAGGCTTGGGCAGGCGCCCAGCCCCAGATGGGCCCCTCAGCTCTGCTTTCCACCAGAGCCCAGCGCTGGGGGCATGGGCGTTCTGGTCCCTCTGGGCCCTGTTCCTGGGTGAGACACCACTCCCCGGCAGAAAGCCCGCAGGCGGGCAGGACTTGCGACAGAAGCGGCGCCGCGTCCCAGACACAATCGACTGGGACCTGAAGGGGCCCTGGTTCCTCCTGGTGCTCAGGCCCCTACAACCAAACCAAGGCCAGTCGTCCCTTAGGCTGAATGCACGCAGCTCAGAGGAAACCTCACCCCACAGTCCTTCCACCCCCCACTCCACGTGGGGGGCCTCACCGCAGGTCAGCATCTGGAACGGCGGCCGTCCACCCACCTAAGCAACATGCACCCGGATGCAACGTGCCTGACCCGTTTCTCCCCAATCCACCAGTGACAAGGGCTCACCACCATCCAGGCACCACAGGGAGCCCGTGCCACTGCCCCTCGGCAACCTCTGCTAATGTCTGCGGGAACTCAGAGAACCTGCCTGTTCAGTTAAGTAAACAAACACACGCAGAGGCACCATGCTGTTCACTCAGGCGACACAGAGACGCCACACTTCACAGGTCCCAGGCCCCGTTCTAAGCGGTTTACAAACCCTGAAGACGCTCGATTCCACCACACCCTCTAGGTGGTATTACTGTCACCCCCACTGTGCAGACGAGGAAACCGAGGCAGGAGTGCAGAGCCAAAATGTGAAGGCGGATTGTCACGGCTCCAAGTCTGTGCCCTGAGCCCAGCCTGCCCGAGTGAGAGCCCCTCTCCCAACATATGCGGAGACTGGCTACACGCAGGCCCGGTCCTTCTGTGCATGCTCGTTTACCGAGTCCTGCACGACCAGGAGCACAGCAGTAACCAGACAAGACCAGCAGGGAAGACGGACGCTTGCGCAGCAGCAGCTCGAGTGCCCAGGCCCAGCTTTCCAGCTCCAGGCCCGGCTCTGCCCTCGCGAGCTCCGTGCAACTACGCCCCCTACCTCACGGAGAGGTGAAGCCACCGAGCAGGGATGGGGACGCAGGCAGTGTGGCTGCACAGTCCCTGCTCTCACCTGCTCTGTCATCCAGACACTCAACAAATTGTCACAAGAACCCTGTGAGAGCGCGGGACGCAATCGAAGGGCAAGACGAGCCTGTCTGCGGGGCCAGGGGTAAGGGAGGGGGACACTCCTCGTGGAGAGCCTGTCGGGGCCTGGGCCCCACCTGAGCGGGGCTGCCCGAGCGCGCCCAGGACCCCGGAGGGGAGGTGGACACAGTGGCAGTAAACAGACCATCAGGAGGGAGGGGAGTAAGGGGGACACTGAGTAAAGGGATGGGGGTGGCTGCCGCGGAGGCGGTACGGAAATCCGGACGGGAAGGCAAGGGAGGGCGGGAAGCAGTCCTCGTGGGAACGGAGCAGTGGACGGAGGTGAGGCTAGCGGCAAGCAGTCAGAGGCCACAGTGCTGGCTGGGGTGCCCTCGTCGGCCCCACACCGAGGTCCAGGCCTTCTCACAGCCGGTCAGCCGCAGGGCCCGCCCTCACGAGCCAGGGCAGGCCAGGCGGCTCCTGGGCTGTCACTGCAGGGCCCTGACAGCATCCGTGTGAGTGATCACAGCTGAACGGGGAGCTGACGGTGGGGAGGCAGGGGGGTCCCCACGGTCAGCGGGGGAAAGCTCGCAGAGGGCTTCCCTGGGCCCTCACTCCCCCCCACAACCTCACCATCCTGCCGGCCGCTTTAGGTCTCCCTGGCCCCAGCTTCTCCCTCTGTGAAACGGGAGCCACGGTGACTGGCGTGATCACAGGCGCCACCTCCACAGCTTCCCCGCCCTCATCTGACCCATCTTCACCCGGGCCGCACGGAAGGTAAGGCGGGTGGTGTGCAGTGTGCTCGGCGATGGTGATGAAATCCTGTGCTCCCCACCTCTCCCTGTCACCCCACCCCACAGGCATGAGGGTCTCCCCAAGGGCCACTCGCTGCTCGACACTGGAGAACACTGGTGAGGAGGCCACAGCCCCTGCCTGGTGGGAGGTCCCTGCCACTGAAGAGAGAGACTAGGAACAAGCACATGAATGACAAAGGTGATTTCAGACAAGGAAGTGCCATGAAGACACACATGCGTGGGGGGCGGGGGGCAGCCTCCTCCTTGGAGAAGCAGGGATGGGGAGGGACGAGCGCAGACCCAGGAGAGGTACCGCAGAGGGCAGAGAGAGTCTGGAGATGCAGGGGTGGGGATTCTCCCACAGGGCCTGCAGGCCCCGCGAAGGACTGGGGAGTCATCTGAAATGCGGCAGTCCCTTTGAAGGCGGCACCATCACAGATGCGGGAACTGGGGCTCACAGACGCTGGCGGGGCCACGCCCTGGGGGTCTCTTGCATGACAGCTAGGATTTCCTCAGTGCTGGCGGTGCCGGGCTCAAGGCCATGGCGACACCCAGGAGACTTCAGTATCAGGACATGGGAGGGCACTGACCACACCCCGCTGGAGGCTCACCGCTGCCCTGCATCCCTGCTCTGGCATACAGCCTCTCTGACGACCCAGGACACAGGGAGGGAGGGACGCACCCCACCTGCAGCCATCTTCCCCCAGGTCTGCCAGAGGGTCACCTCCCTAGAGGCCTCCCAGCCCTGGTCTACCCTCCCCCGTCCCCACGATGTCGCACCCTGCCCTGAGACCCGCCGGGTGCCCAGCACTATAAGAGCGCTGGTCACCAACAGGTACTGAGAACGGGTGGGTGACACATGGATGAACGCATCTGAACAAAACAGAGACTCGAGAGACAGAACACGATGAACCCAAACTCTGTCCCCCCGGCCCAGCCCACCCTGCGGGACCCACTTCAGGACGCGGTGAGAACCACACAGGAAGGAGCCCCCCCAGCCCCCAGAGGGCCAAGAGCGGGTGCAGCAGTTCGGGTGACTCCCACGCAGTCCCAGGTACAGGGGCACTGTCTGGCAGGACAGCTTCGGAGCCTGGACAAGTGCCAGCAGCCCCTAAAAGGGGAACCCCACTTTCCCAGAAGCTGGTCAGAGGGGAAAACCCAACCTCGGAAAATGCTTCTTGCAGGAAAAAAAAAAGTTCATCACAGCAAGATCTAGAGCAGGGGAAAAACTGGAGAGAACCCGTCGGCCCGTGGCGGGAGAGCGGTCCAGGCGTCACACAGCCTCAGAAATGACGGTCACAACACTGTGATAACAGGAAGAGTGACTTTAACATTTTTCTTTTTGTTTATCTTCATTTTCCCGGGTTTTTTTTACATTAATGGATAATTACTTCTGTAATGAGGGAAAACAAAAGTTGATTTTTTTTGGATGTCCGTAAGAACTAGGTGTCACAGCAGGAAATCAC